CTGTACCTAATCAAAAAAAAATATATATATAAACAATTTTTTTTTTTTGAAAAATTTGGAAGTAGCTTGATTTTTTTTCCATTTTAAAGAATCTACGGGGTTCTTAAGGCTTTTTTGACAAATTTAAAAGAATCTTGGGGGCTTTAGAAATTGACATTATAGCGAAATTCTTGAAGGATTTTTTTTTGGAAAAATTTTAAAGAATCTTGATTCCTGTTTTTTTTTTCTTTAATTAAAAAGAATCTTCGGGCTTCCTGATGGTTTCCTTTTAAGAATTTGAAACAATCTTGTGAGCCTCTGACTTTTTTTTAATTTAAAAGAATTTTTGAAAACATGTAAAGAATCTTGGGGGCCTCTTTAAAAGTATCTTGAGGATTCCTGATTTGTTTTTTGAAAAAGTTAAAAAAGTCTTGGATTGTTTTTTTTTTTGAACAATTTCGACGAATTCTGGGCCCCCGACGGTTTTCTCTTTGGAAGATTTTGAAATAATCTTGAGGATTTCTAAAGGAAAAAATCTGAAAGGATCCTGGATTTTTTTTATACCTTTAAAAACCTTTTTTTTTGGAAAATTTGAAAGAATCAATTTTTTGAAAATTTAATGGAATCTTGGGGGTTACTGATTTTTTATTTGAATTTTAAAAAATTTTGTGGCTTGTGGCATTTTTTTTTTGGAAGAATTTGACGGGATTTTGGGGTACTTGACAGTTTCCTTTTTAGAATATTTTGAAAGAAACTTGCGGGCGATTTTTTTTCTTGAAATTTTTTTTTAAAATCCTTGAGGTATCTGAATTTTTCGGAGGAATTTTGGGCTTCTTGATAATTTCCTTTTAGAACATTTTGAAAGAAACTTGAGGGACTCGTGCGGTTTTTCTTTTAAAAAACTTTTTAAGAACCTTGGAGATTTAGGTTTTTTTTTGTAAATTTAAAAGAATCTTGGGAGCCCTTGACGGTTTTTCAAAACACTTAAAAGACTAATGGAGGTCGTCGGCGGTTCCTTTTTTTGTAAAATTTTAAAAGAATTTTTGGGCGTTTCTGACAGTTATTTTTTTTGAAAATTTAAAAGAATATTGGGTTCCCGATTTTTTCTTGAAAAATTTTAAACAACCTTAGGGCCTCCTGATGTTTTTTTATTTGACAAAATCTTGGGAGCCCTTGACGGACTTTTTTTTAACATTTAAAAGAATCTTGGAACCCCTGACAAATTTTTATAAAGAATTTAGGGTCTTCGAAGTTTTTTATTTAAACAAATTTGAGTCCCTGATGAGGTTTTTATGAAGAATTAGAAAAAATCTTGGGGACTTCTACCGGAAAAAAATTGAAACAATCTTGGGGTCCCCAGACTTTTTTTATTTACAACAATTTTGGGCTTTAATAAGTGTTGGGGCATCTGACGGGTTTTTCTGTTCGGAAAAATTTGAAAAAATCTTGGAGGTCTCTGACCGTTTCTTTTTTAACTTTAGAGAATCTCGGGGGTTCCTCAATTTTATTTGAATTGTAAAAATATTGGATCTTCAGTCGTTTTTTTTTGAGGGTTCCTTTTTACAACAATCTGCAAGAAACTTGAGGACTTCGTGCGGTTTTTTTTTTAAATTTGTCAAGAATTTTGGAAATTTCATTTTTGTTTTTTAATTTAGAAGAATCTTGGGAGCCTCTGATTTTTTTTTAAATATTTAAAATAATTATGGAGGTGGTCGGCGGTCCCTTTATTTGTAAAATTTTAAAAGAATCTTTGGCGTTTCTGGCAGTTTATTTTTTGAAAATTTAAAAGAATATTGGGGTTCCCGATTTTTTCTTAAAAAATTAAAAAAATTTGAGGGTTCCTGAATTTTTTTGGAAGAATTTGAAGAAATTTTGACGCCTTGACGGTTTTCTTTTTGCAAGATTTTGAAAATTATCGTGGGGTCTCCTGATGCTTTTTTTTTTAATTTGACAAGATCTTGGGAGCCTTTGATGCTCTCTCGGATCTTTTTTTTTTGGAAAATTTTGGAACCATCTTGGAACGCCTGAAGAATTTTGGAAGAATCTTAGGGGTTTCTTTATAAGAATTTAAACGACTCTTTGGATCCCTGATAAAGTTTTTTTGAAAAATTTGAAAAAATCTTGGGGTACCCTGACTTTTTTTATTTAAGAATTTTGGGGTTTTGATGATTTTTTTTTTAAGTTTAAAAGAATATGAGTTTCAGACTTTTATTTATATTTCGAAAAATTTGAAAGAATCTTGGGGGGCCCTGACAGTTTCTTTTGAATTTAAAAAATCTTGGGGCTTCTAGTTTTTTTTTTGAAGAATTTGAACAAATTTTGGGGTCCTTGATAGATTCCTCTTTAGAACATTTCGAAAGAAACTTGAGGGTCTCGTGCGGATTTTTTTTTAATCTGTTAGTAATCTTGAAAATTTCAATTTTTTTTTAAACATTTAAAATAATCATGGAGGTCGTGGGCCGCTCTTTTTTTGTAAAATTTCAAAACATTCTTGGGCGTTTTTGGCAGTTTTTTTGAAAATGTAAATGATACTGGAGTTCCGATTGTTTCTTGAAAAATTTAAAAAATAGTGGGAGCTACTGAATTTTTTTGGAAAAATTTCAAGAAATTTTGATGCCCCTGACGGTTTTCTTTTTGGAAAAATTTTGAAAAAAATCCTAGGACCCCGTTTTTTTTTTAATTTGACAAAATCTTGAGAGCCCTTGACGGTATTTTTTTTAACATTTAAAAGAAACTTGGGGGTTCCTAACGGATCTTTTTTTTTGAAAAATTTTGGAAGGATTTAGGGTCTCCGAAGTTTTTTTTTCATTTTAAACGAATTTGGGTCCCTGACGGATTCTTTTGGAAGCATTGGGAAGAATCCTGGGGCTTTTTCTATTTTAATTTAAAAGAATCTTGGGGACTTCAAATGTTTTTTTTTTGAAGAATTTTGGAGTTCCTGATTTTTTTTTAATTTAAAAGAATCTTGAGGATTTCAGACTTTTTTTTATTTAGAAGAATTAGAATTTTGTTGGGGCCTCTGATCGTTTCTTTTTTTAACTTTAGAGAATGTCGAAGATTTCGGTTTTTTTATTTGAATTTTAAAAAATTTCGGAACTTTTGACGTTTTTTTTTGAAGATTTTGAACGAATTTTGGGGTCCTTGATGGTTATCTTTTTATAACATTTTGAAGAAAACTTGAGGGCCTCGTGCGTTTTTTTAAATTGTTAATAATTTTTCAAAAAAAATTCATTGTTTTTAATTTAAAAGAATCTTAGAGTTCCGATTTTTTTTCTTGAAAAATTTAAAAAAATTTTGGAGGCTAGTGAATTTTTTTGCAAGATTTTGAAAAAAATTTTGGGGCCTCCTAATGTTTTTTTGGAGTAATCTTGGAATCCCTGATGACTTTTTTTTAATTTAAAAGAATTTAGGGTCTTCGAAGTTTTTTATTTAAACCTAAACAAATTTGGGTCCTTGACGGGTTCTTTTGGAAGCATTTCGAAAAACCTTGGGAGCTCCTGACGAAAAAAAATAGAAACAATCTTGGGGTCTGCTGACTTTTTTTTAAAGAATTTTGAGATTTCTGATGTTTTCTTTTAAATTTAAAAGAATCCTGAGGGTTTCATACTTTTTTTTACTTAGAAGAATTTCAATGAATGTTGGGGCCTCTGACAGTTTTTTTATTTGGAAAAATTTGAATGAATCTCTGGGGTTCCTGATTTTATTTCATTTTTAAAAAATCTTGAAGGCCTCGTGCGGTTGTTTTTTTTTTTTGAAAAATTTGTTAAGAATCTTGGAATTTCTTTTTGCAAGATTTTGAAAAAATCTTCGGGCCTCCTGATGTTTTTTTTTTTAATTTGACAAAATCTTGGGGTCCGTGACGTTTTTGACGTTTTTTTTTTAACATTTAAAAGAATTTTTGGGGTCCTAACGGATCTTTTTTTTTGGAAAATTTTGGAAGAATCTTGGAACCCCTGACGGGTTCTTTTGGGAACATTTGGAAGAATTCTGGGAGGCCTCTGACGTTTTCTTTTTTAATTTAAAAGAATCTTGGGGGCTTCACACTGTTTCTTAGAGGACGAGGTTTTTTTAAGAATTTGAAAAAATCTTGGTGGCTCCTGACGGAAAATTTATTTCGTTAGAAGAATTTGAATGAGTTGGGGCCTCTGACGGTTTTTTTTGTTTGGAAAAATTTGAAAGAATTTTGGGGATCTCTGAGTTTCTTTTTTAACATTAGAGAATCTTGGGGGTTCCTGACTTTTTTTTTATTTAAAAGAATTTCGGAGAAAACAATCACCGCAACGAGGCAAAAATCACTTTTTATTTATCATAAAACTGTCAAGCTGATGTCTGATATCAGTTTATGGCTAAGATTTAGTCGACGTTAGAACCATTCTCAATGTAAATTCACGTGATAATCCTTTGACAGCTTTTATTATCATTATTTTCAACAATAATTTACAACGTGTATGTTTTGAATGTGTGGCCTGAGAGAGGAGAATGAAACTAGTCGTAAAATTATCACAAAAATTCAAAATTCCAAACCCAAAATAATTACAAATTTTGGAAAGACACGATCAGTTTAGTTTTATTAGTCCAAATTAAAAAAAAAATACTAAACGGTATGAACGTCCATGATAAGACGAAGAGTTCCGTGAAGAGATCCGAAGCCAAATTTAACTTTAAAAGTGAAAGTTTATTAGGAGGAGGAAAAAGTTCAAGAGTAATTAGATAAGATAATTTAATAAATAATTTTGTTTTCCCGCTGTCATAATGAATAACGACTTTAACAGCGCTGAACATAAATTTTATTTGTCGTCAAGATAACCAAAGGTAAATAATTTCTTATCCGTTTAAAAAGTTAGAGCTAACTTTAAAGACTGTCAAAGTGAAAAAGCAATCTTGACTCATCTTTTTTTTTAAATTAAATTAAATTAAATTATCGCCGCCGAAATTTTGCAACTTATAATTAATTTAATACCAAATAGTAGAAAAATCAAATAGGCATCACTAACCCCCCCATCCATCACCCCCTAACTTACTCCGCAATCCTCTCTCCGTTCCAGCAGTGCTGATCCTTCGCCTCGGCGAAGCTCTCGTCCTGGCACAGAGTATCCGCCAGATTACCGTAAAACCCCCTCGTCTTCGAAATGGAAGTGAGGAAGTGGAGGAGGTGCGTCTCCGGCGAGGAGCCCGAGATGCGCTGTCCGGCGGCCCGCGGCTTGGCGGTGGCCAGCGGCGGCATGTGCAGCTCCATCATGAGGGGGTCGGCCGTCCTGTTGGTGAAGGTGGGCCGGCCGCAGAGGCGCTGGACCTGCGGCAAGAGCGGACCGCGTTAGCACGTCTCGAATCGATTCGTCCTGCGACAGGACAACCCGCGGACTTATCTCGGCAACGTCTCGCTTTATTCCGTAATTGGAAAACGGAGCTGTCGCTCACAAAAATGGAAGGAAATGGCTTTGGAAGAACTAATTTGGGAAATAATCTCGGGCTCGGTTTGAGGAATCAAATGTTTACCTGGATGGGAGGGGCGGGAGCGGAGTTTAATGTTTCGAGGGGTGTACTCGGGAGTTTGGTTCGTCTTGTCATAAAACATTATGTTTGTAGTAGCTGCTAGTAGCGAAGGAAAGCGGGATTTTAAACGGAGATTTTTTGTCAGTTCTTGAGTGCCGCTTTGTTGATTGAACTAGACAGTGGATCGAGTAGCGCAAACCTGCTGCTTGAAAGGGGTGCGTCTGCTCTGGTTTTATACTATTTTAAATATGAGTTGCATTTCAAAAATACCAGATACATTGTCTGAAAAAAATTATAGTTCCAATTGGAATCTAGGGGAGCTCCTAATTTATATTCATGTCTAGTGTGCAAAAATTATAAACTTGACCAATTTTTGTTCTGTTTCTGTCTTCGAAGAAGTGCGGGCATTCTTTACCCGCGTAAAAAAAGTGTATCGAACGAAGACACAAACAATAACATATCAGATGTCGCAATTGCTATAGTTTTACAACATCTTGCCAAAATTAAAAGAATTTTATTTTATGGAGAACTTTTTGAAATAATATTTTAAACTAAACAGCAGAGTAATTTTTTTATTAAGAAACCAACCTGATCCAGTAAGCAATAGAAGAAAACTGACGAATATTGACAATTTGAAAATGACAGGACGAAACTTCGGAATAAAATGTATAAAATTTCAAAATATCGAAAAATCACAAAACCGAAATCGAGAACTCGAAAAGTCAGGAAGTAGAAAAGTTGAAAAATCGAAATACATATATCAAAACTGACAAATCGAAAAGTTAAAAACTGAACAATTTTGAATTAAAAAAAATCTATAAATGAAAAAATTGAAAAATAGAAAAATTCAAAAATTGAACATCCGAAAAATCAAAAACTTTAAGAATCGAAAAATTGAAAAACCAAAAACTCTAAAACTGAGAAGATGAAAAATCAAGAATCCGAAACATTGAAAAATCTAAAATTTAAAAATCGAAAAATTGAAAAATCGAAAAACTGAAGATAAAAAATATTGAAAAATTCCAAAACTGAAAATCGAAAAATTGAAAAATCGGGGAAATCTGGAAATCCAAAGTTTAGAAACGCCATTGATTTCATATTAATTCTTTTTCCATATATGTAGTCAGGTACAAAACCGAATGATCTGAATTCTTGAAGACGTTTTAAGGTTATCGTAAGCATGGTAAAAGGTTAATCACAATGTATACCTTTATTATGCGTTCCCAAAAAATTAATGACCTCATCACAAAATTGTGTCGAATAAATTTTATTTAAATTTAACGGAATAACATACACCTGTATTTGTGGTTTATAAATCCGTATTGAGTTCTTACTTTGGACATCCAGATTTTTGGGGAAAAAATTAAAATTGAGTAACAATATTTATGCTCCTGTAGTTGTGGTTTATGAGTTCGTGTTCAGTTTTTATCCTTGACATTCCGATTTTCCGAAAAAAAAATCAAAACTCTACAGCAACATTTTACGACTTAATTTTGAAATTGCAAAACCGAATGGTCTGGAATATTATAAATGTTTTAGGGTAATCAGAAACATGGTAAATTGTTCATCAAAATTTTAATAACAAAAAAAATTTTGTTCGTCTATAAAATAAACTTGTTTTAGACAGTGTTTATAAAAAATACTTATGTCGCTTAAAAATGTACGTATCTTTGTCCTGGTTGCGATTATGGTTTAAATATTTCATCTAATCCGGATTTGAAAAATGCCCAAATTCTCAAAACACTAAAATTCTCAAATCCTCAAAACACCAAAATTCTCAAATCCTCAAAATGCCAACGTCCTCAAATCCTCAAAATACTAAAATTCACAAATCCTCATCACATAAAAATCCTCAAATCCCCAAAACACTGAAATCGTCAAATCCTCAAAACATCAAAATTCCCAAATCCTCCAAATTTCAAAACACCAAAATCATCAAATCCTCGAAATCCTCCACATGCTCAAATCATCAAGTCCCCAAATCTCCGAAATCCTCGAATCCTCAAAACACTGAAATCTTCAAATCCTTAAATCTTCAAAACACTAAAATTCCCATATGCCAAACACCAAAATTCTCAATTCTGTAAACACCGAAATCCTCAAAGCGTCAACATCCTCAAATCGTCAAAACACCTAAACTCTCAAAACATCAAAACCCTCAAATTATCAAAACCTTAAAATCCTCAAATTCTCAAAACACCAAAATAATCAAACTTTTAATGATAAAAAAAATTCTTTAGGTACTTTGTCCTAACTACAATTATGGTTTAAACATTTCAGATAATCCTGACATGGAAACCTGAAAAATCCTCAAATCCTCAAAACAATAAGATCCTCAAATCGTCAAAACACCAGAATCGTCAAATCCTCAAAACATCAATATCCCCAAAACTTCAAAACACCAAAATTCTCAAATTTTCAGAATACGATAATTCACAAATCCACGGACTCCTCTAAATGCTCAAATCAGTAAATCCTTAAATTTTCAAATTCTTTAATACTTAAAATTCTCAAATCATCAAACCCCCAAATCTCTAAAACCCTCGAATCCTCAAAATACCAAAATCGTATATCCTCAAAACACAAAATCCCCAAATCATCAAAACACCAAAAGACTCAAATCCTCAAAACACCAACAACCTCAAATCCTGAAAAAATCAAAATTCTCAAATCCTTAAATTTTCAAAACACCTAAATCCCCAAATCCCAAGACACCAAATTTGTAAAATTTTCAAAACGTTAAATCCTCAAATCGTCAAAATACCAAAACCTCAAATCCTCAAATCTTCGAAATCCTAGAAATGTTCAAGTCAGCAAATCCTCAAAATCTTCAAAATCCTCGAAACCTTAAAACACCAAAATCCTCAAATCCTCAAAACACCAAAATCCCCAAATCCTCAAAACACCAAAAGACTCAAATTCTCCAATCCTTAAAAGACCAAAATTCTCAAAACGTAAAAATCCTTATCCTCTAAACACCGAAATCCTCAAATCTTCAATGGTCAAAACACCTCAAATTTTCAAAACACGAAAATCCTCAAATTCTCAAAATCTTCAATTCCAGAAATCCTCAAATCATGAAGCCAAATCTCCAAAATCCTCCAATCCTCAAAACATCAAAATTCTCAAATTCTCAAAATACCAAAATTCTCAAATTCCCATAACGGTAAAATCCTGAAATTCTCAAGACACCGAAATTCTCAATATCTCAAATCAAAATCCTCAAATCGTCAAAACACCTAAATTCTCAAATCATTAAAACATCATAATCCTGAAATCGTCAAAACATTAAAATCCTCAAGTCGTCAAAAACACCAAAATCTTCAAATTTTCAAAACACGAAAATCCTCAAATCCACGAAATCCTCGAAATGATCAAATCAGCAAATCACCAAAATCTTCATTTCTTGAAGTCCTCAAATCATCAAGGCCACAAATCTCCAAAATTCTCGAATTTTCAAAACACCAAAATTCTCAAATCTTCAAAACACCAAAATTCTAAAATCCTCAATCTCCAAAATTCTCGAATCCTCAAAACACCAAAATCCCCAAATCCTCAAAACACCAAAAGACTCAAATCCTCAAAACACCAAAATTCTAAAATTATCAAAACGTCAAAATCCTCACATCCTCTAAACACCGAAATCCTCAAATCTTCAGAATATCAAAATCTTCAAATCGTCAAAACACCTCAAACTTTCATAACACGAAAATCCTCAAATCCCCGAAATCCGCCAAATGCTCAAATCAGCAAATCCTCAAATTTTTAATTTCTGAAGTCCTCAAATCATCAAGCCCCCCCAAATTTCCAAAATTCTGGAATCCTCAAAACACCAAAATTCTCAAATTCTCATAACGGTAAAATCCTCAAACTCTGTAGACATCGAAATTCTCAATATCTCAAAACATCAAAATCTTCAAATCGTCAAAACACCCAAATTCTCAAATCATTAAAATATCATAATCCTCAAATCGTCAAAACATTAAAATCCTCAAGTCGTCAAAAACACCAAAATCTTCAAATTTTCAAAACACGAAAATTCTCAAATCCACGAAATCCTCGAAATTATCAAATCAGCAAATCCTCAAATTCTCAAAATCTTCAATTCTTGAAATTCTCAAATCACCAAAATCTTCATTTCTTGAAGTCCTCAAATCATCAAGGCCACAAATCTCCAAAATTCTCGAATTTTCAAAACACCAAAATTCTCAAATCTTCAAAACACCAAAATTCTAAAATCCTCAATCTCCAAAATTCTCGAATCCTCAAAACACCAAAATCCCCAAATCCTCAAAACACCAAAAGACTCAAATCCTCAAAACACCAAAATTCTAAAATTATCAAAACGTCAAAATCCTCACATCCTCTAAACACCGAAATCCTCAAATCTTCAGAATATCAAAATCTTCAAATCGTCAAAACACCTCAAACTTTCATAACACGAAAATCCTCAAATCCCCAAAATTCTCGAATCTTCAAAACACCAAAATCCCCAAATCCTCAAAACACAAAAAGACTCGAATCCTCAAAAGACCAAAATTCTCAAATCCTCAAATCTTCAAAACACCAAAATTCTAAAATTCTCAAAACGTTAAAATCCTCATCCTCTAAACACTGAAATCCTCAAATCCTCAAAATATCCATATCATCAAATCGTTAAAACATCTCAAACTTTCATAACACGAAAATCCTCAAATCCCCGAAATCCGCCAAATGCTCAAATCAGCAAATCCTCAAATTCTCAATTTCTGAAGTCCTCAAATCATCAAACCCCCAAATCTCCAAAATTCTCGAATCCTC